CAAGAAGCAGATGCCTTGTACAAGAATTGACAAGTGCAAATTGGTTGACAAGATATATACTAACCCTGTTCTGTCAAACTATAACTAATGTCAAACCTAGTAAAACAAAATGACTATGGACTTTCATTTACTTACTAAAAACTTTTTAATGTGTTATGATACATGAATATTAGCATAAACCGTATGAAGAAATCCATATGCTTACATGAAGCTAGCAAGACATTTTCTTCTGTATAACCTTCATTGGGCCCTTCAAAGAGCTCAATTCGCTTATTATCAATATTTGTAGCATATCTGCATTGCAATGAAAACAAACGCACTTATTGGTTCATGCTATCTGTCAAGGTATACATCCTGTTCGTGTAAGAACAGAAATGATATTCAATGACATTTTAAGGAAGCTGAAGGCATATAACACGAGCAAGGAAAAACTACGCCTTCCACACAATCTAAGAGAGGTCACTAATATGATAGTTCACTTACTGCTTTTTCAAAGCAACATATGAGTTTAGCTCTTTGATCTGCAGCAAAAATAGCAAATGCTTGTCACATGGTTGGTTAATGTCATGCATTATTTATGAAGAACGATAAATCAAAAATATGATAAATTAGCCAAATTGAGGTGTCAACGAAGGAAAGTATATCATGTAAGTATCCATAGCTAACATCTCACCATTGACTGCTTTTTCTCAGTCAACATTTTGTTGGTTTCTCTATCAAAGTTGCCCTCCAAAGCTTTTACTTCTTTATCGAACTCTTTTATAAGCCTTCAAAATAAATCCAACAATTTATACACTTCAGTGAGTACTAGTAGAGACAGTAATAACTCAATTCTTAAACTGTGGGAATTGACGAACGATGATCATGAGTCATGATTAGGCGTGATTTCAAAAGTACGGAAAAAAGGTTCACTTAGAAAATAATTAAAATCACATTTCTTTCTATGCACAAATTATTGAATTAATCAAGCAAGGCTTGGATTCTGATCACTAATTTTTCTTATTTTTATATAGATCTAGAAATGGTGACACAGTTTAAAACTTTAACTAGCATATTTTGCTTGAATTAATCATTTCCCAAATTTATGAGTAACTAAAATCAAATTCACATCTCTTCTATGCACATTGTGTCAGAGTTCACAGTCCACTGTATAATGATTCATGACACAAAATGCCAAGAGTGGTATCATTTGAACAAATAATTCAAGTGTCTACTCGTGAGACCTAATAGTTTTATGTGAATTTCAAGTCACATTTTCAAAATGCAAGTGTGTCAACCATAAACAACATCCAAGCCTCTTATTACAAATTATAACTAAATAAAGTTATTAACACTATATCATAATTCATGATACAAAATACAAAGTGCAGTATTATTTGAACAACTAATCCAAACAACTTCCAAAACCTTGACGCTTCGGACAAACGCGGACATTTGTGGTGGATGCAGCCACAATTGTGATCGCCATACGGTTTCGAGTTGAAATTCAAATCAAAATTTGGAAATTCTATTAAGAAAAGGAAAGAAGTGAAAGAAGTAGTACCGTTTAGAGTCACGCATTTTGTCAGTAAGCTCTTCCAGCTGTCTGCTTTGTCTACTTGAATCCTTAATCTTATCCAACTTCTGAAATCCATTTCTGCATCAAACAATAACAACTAACGAGTCATTAAAAAACACAACAAGTTATTATAAGAAAGAAAAAGAGAGAATAGAGATTATTAATTAAGATTCAGACGATAAGACGCGGAAGTTATCGGCGATGCGGCCATCGATTTCAGCGAGTTCCTCACTAATTGCTGATAACTGATCCATATTGTAATGCTTCACAATTAAACCACAAATCTCTTACAATAAAAATGAGATCTGAGGAAAGAAACGGTTATGGTGAAGAATGAGTAGAATTTGACTTGATGTGGATCCGAAGAATGATGTAAGAGAAGGTGTTGACAATGTGTACAAAAAAACAATCACCCCCTTCCCTCCTTCTACTTTTTTTTTTATTTTCAAATAAATATACTATTTCTGCCGTTTAATTTAAATATTCCTCCCCTAATCTTTGTTTTCTCTTACAAAATTCTTCTAAAAAAATATGGTTATTTACCTCCTAATTTTAAATCATTTGAAGATATTAATTTCAGAAGATTCTCTTTACGGACTTGATTTTATTTGTATTTTCAATAGCAAAAGTGTTATTCTATTATATATAGAATGATAAAAATGTCTTAACATATCATTGTTTCATTTACTTTTTGTAGTATTTGTGTATAGGGATGACAATGAAAACCGAACCTGGGGTAACTGTCCGAACCCAACCCGAATATAATGGGAAAAACCCGATGTGAATGAGTTCGGGTTCGAGTTTTATCCGAGTTCAAATTTTGGGTTCGAGTTTGGTATTAACAATATCAAACCCGAACCCGATTAATATGATTAATATATGTAAAAATATAAAATTACATATAAATACATACATAAAACTATATATATATATATATATATAAATATAGGTTTTTCGGGTTATTTTTTTGGGTTCAGGTTACCCGAAACTCGACGGGTTCGGGGATGATATCATTGTTTCCAACCCCGCTTAATTCGGGTTCGAGTTTTGGATTTCAGGTTAAGCACAAACCCGACCCGACCCGCCCTGTTGCCATTCCTATGATTGTCTATCCATTAATGGAAAAAATCTTACTCAAATTTGGGTGATAATGGTTAGCTTTGGCCCGGTGGTTGGTGAATGGTGATGATTATTTTTATTTTTTTTGGCTAAATCCATGGCGATGATGAAGCTTAACGTGCAAGCATACTTGTTAACCTAAGACAAGAATGACTTAACAGATACCAAGGAGGAAAAGTGAATTGTAATTATAAGTCAATAACTTATAGAGATAAAAATGAATAAGAAGTATGCATATATATATTAACGTAAAGGTCATATCTAAAGATGTTTTTTTTCTTCTGTTAGTTTTTAGATTTAACATTCAAGCATAAATTAACTATCACTATTTTACTATATGAAAAATCTTTTCTTTTTTCTAGCAATCAGAAGTATATGCATATATGTGAAGCTGGCCATGATTTGTTGATATGAAGATTTCTTTCTACTTGCCAACAATCAGAAGAAATTAAATAGTTTCTTGACACATAAATGTTAATCCAACTATAAAGTTTAGCATGTAATATATTTGAGATTTTTTAATAAAAAAATACAGTGTGAACTGGGAACAATTAAATCACATACCATGAAGAGATGAATTAAGTGAAAACCCATTCATAAACTTACCCATTGATCTAATAGTATCTTGCTTTATGTATTTACTTGTTTTTTTATTTCATTAATGTATTAACTTTTATTGATCATAGCACTAAAATAAATACTTGTCCTTTATTTTTTCCATGGTTAACAATCCACAAAAAGAATTGCTCAAATCACATAACCTAGTATATTTACTGCTTAAATAAACATAAAAACCATTATAGTAGTAACAAATTGAAAATGGGAAAAGAAGGGAGTGGGAATCATTACAACACACCTATTATAATGAAATAAACACAAATGTTATATTCTTGCAACTTACATATCCTAACTGCAGATAATTAAAATAATTAAACCCCTCATAACCTTGATCTAAATACTATACCCTACTCTTCTTGTTAAAGGAATCTTTTTGCACCCTTAAATTTCCTGAACTTCAAGTTTCTCAACCTGCTTGGACTAAAAATAGATCCCTATAAGAAGCAACAACATCAAGTTAGTGACCAAATTCAATGACCCATCATAAGGAGACCCTGATTTCTGTGTCCCAACATTTGCATCACTCGGACTAGGGGCACTAAATGTAGGACTAAGATTGTCTCTAGTAGGAGGTGAAGGCAATGTAGGAGATGGAATTGGAGGCGAGGCCATACATGAAGGAGATGTGCTATTAGAACAGGTTGGTGTAGGAACACTAGAGTTATTATTATTTGATACACAATCTTCAGACAAGACACCATCTATTCCATGGCATCTAATTGAAGATCCTGCTGTACATATATTCCTGCTAATGATTTTCACATTGTTGAGAACAAAATTCTTCCTACCATAGTTTGAGACTCTAAGCATGCAATTTGGTAATGAGCTAGGAATAATTGTCCCTGTTGGGAATTGTTCCAAGGTCTCAAAGATCAAAGGTGATGGGACTGAATGCCTTAGTAAGAAGCTAGAAATAGAACCTTCTTGTAACACCATGTTAGCTAGCATTCTATCATTTGGCATCAAGAAAGTCACATTTCCTTCAAGTTTTGTATCAGGTGGAGACATGTTGATGAGCATTACAAATGTGAAGTAATTTGCCTTTTGCATCTCCTTAGTGGCTGCAACAAGGTCTTGGTTAATTTCTATTGGGGTAACTGAAGAAAACAACATCAATAGGACTAGGAATACAACAAAAAACAAGTTGCTTGCCATGTTTGCTGATGTTTTCTGTCCAAGTTGCTTGATTTCTCTCCTCTTATGAATATGTTGGTTTTATCATGAAGAGGCCACATTCTATAGAGTCTGATAATTGAATAAGGAAAGGGGTAAAAAATTATGTGCACATGCAAACATGCTGCTTCACCAACTAAGCTTCACACACCTTGTGCATGGTGGGAGGATGTGATTAGTAGTGAGTATAATAATAATTTTCAGTTAAGAGGGCACAAAATTTTGGATAGTTTAAGTATCCTTAAATTATTGTGGGGTGGTAGTAATAGGACTTAGAGGTTCCATCTCATTTAGTGGCAAAACTTGCCAAACAATTTGCCTATAATGGTTACAACCATATTTTTAGGTATAGATTGGAGAATAGAATTAAGGGGAAAAAGTATATCAACTTTTACTCCAGGAATCTTTAAGACTCTAAGTAAGCATTGCTATATACAAAAAAATCTGATGTATTTTTTCCAACATTACAATTTTTTTATCTTGAAAATAAGCAAATTAAAGCTAAGGCTAAGGAAAAGCAAAAAACAAAAAAATTCCGTTGCCGGGACTTGAACCCGGGTCTTTCGGGTGAGAGCCGAATATCCTGACCAACTAGACTACAACGGATTGATGTTATTGCACACTAACGACGCTAATGAAATTTAATTTCAAGTCAGTGAATACCCGACCCACATAACGGGCTTTCGCTATATAAAAGACGAAACAGAATTAGGGTTTCGTTAGTTTCCCGAACATCGTGCTTAACTCGTTGCGCCTTCAATCCTTCCAACATGGTACCTTCTCTCTCTCACTCTTCTCTTTAGATCTTCTAATATTTTCGTGTTTATAACATACTGATAGAGGGAACTTAGGAATCTAGGATTTTTTGTTTGTTGAAACCCCCAATTTTCACTTAAATTTGTTAGGCGTCGAGTTTTTCTAACTGATTGCACTGTGAAATGTCTCGTTTTTGCAGACTAAGAGAACAAAGAAGGCTGGCATCGTTGGGAAATACGGTATGTCTTTTTAATTTATATCCATTCAGTTTAATTGAATACCTCTTAATCTATTTGAGCAAAGATTTAAAAAAATAACTTGTTTTCATCAGTTGTTTCATAAGCTTATTGAAAAAAGAGCTTATAGGAAGATTGTACACTGTTTACATAAGCTATTCTCATAAGCCCGGATGATATCAATGTAGGCGTCTCTTTAATCTAATTTGTTTTGGTCTTGGCGTTCTAGTTATGGTCCCTGCGCATGTTAGTTATTATACTGAAGTGGGTTTGTTATTGCTCTATATTTGCCCTAGTTTATAGGTTTTTAATTAGTATGATTTATGCATTTTTGGTTGAACATAAATGCACCTCAGTGTAGGTATGAAATTTTCATTGAGTGGGCTAAAAAGAGAGCACAATTTTGTCATGGGAGCCAAGTTGAATAATTGAAGAATATATGGAAAAATTATTGTGAAAACTTGACTTTTGATAAAAGAGGAGGGAATATTAAGGTCTAATGTGACTTTCTCATTGTCTAATGTCGTCAAATCATTGTTATATTGATAAACTAAACCTTCTCCTTCCCTCCAATAGTCCCTTTCTTTTCAAATCATTGTCATAGTTACTTTATATGGGTATTACCATCTGGCACCACCCCGTAGTAAACGAACTCAAGACTTCTGCTCCTTGGTCCTTATCCACTTTCTATGGTGGGATTCTATGTTATAATGTCTAAGCTATGGTACGTTTAATATGTTTGCCTAAATATTGAGTTTTTTGTTTACTTTCCTACTTCATTAATTGAACAAGTGAGGTATTTACTGGTCATGCAAATTTTTACATCAACAATTTTGGATTTATTTATGCTCTATGAAAAATGGTGCTGCATGAGTATGTTTACTTTGATTTATATAAGTTCCTTAGAAACTATTTGATTGTTTTCTTATATCAGGCACCAGGTATGGGGCTAGTCTGCGAAAGCAGATTAAGAAGATGGAAGTCAGTCAACACAGCAAGTTTTTCTGTGAATTTTGCGGAAAGGTCCGTATTTACTAAGGACATATTCTATTCCTAAGTGTTTTGTATGTTAGATCCAACTTTTTAAAAAAGAAATTGAAACATTAAATAATGATGATCCATTCTTTGTTGCAGTATGCTGTGAAGAGGAAAGCTGTTGGTATTTGGGGATGCAAGGACTGTGGTAAAGTGAAAGCAGGCGGTGCCTACACTTTGAAGTATTGTTCTTCTCCCCTTCTTCTGTTATTGTTTCTTTTTTTCTTTATCAGCACCTGACTTTGTTCTCACTATTTCTTGACAGCACCGCAAGTGCTGTGACTGTTCGGAGCACTATCAGGAGGTTGAGGGAACAAACTGAGGGTTGATTTTTTTAGTTTATGAAAGTTTTTAAAAGCTATTTAGACTTGAGAGGCTTTGTTTTTGTCAAAAAAAAACTGCTTTGATTGTATGCGAAGTAAAATATCAGTTTTGAAGATATTATGCAATTGTTTTAATTTATGTATGTGTAACTCTTTTTGTTAGAGCAATTTAGCTGTCTTATTTTTCTTTTGATTGTTACATCTGCAATTTGGCTAATTGTTTCTTGTCATTCTTGCTGGAAAACTTGCACTGGAATTCTTTTTCCAAGTCTCCACAAGTTCGCATGATTAACCTATACCTCCATAATCCTACATTTGTAAAGCAGTCACATTCTTAGCCAAATGATTTTGAAAATTTTGTTCAGATGCCACATCTGGGGCCATGGGTATGGAAAGACCTAGGGAAAATGCATAAAACACTACTGAAAGCTTTTCCTCGAAGCCCTGTTAATCCAACTGGTTGCAGATCCTTCCTTCAGACCCTTCATTTTGTTTCTCAAGCGATTTGGTTTCCATGCTTGTTCTATTGTCTGTTTTTTTGTTTTGTTTTTGTAATCTGATCTGAGTTTTAGCATTTGGAAGTTTGGTTAGTCTATCGTCTAGTTAGTACTTAATAGGGCAAACCTGCAAATTTTTATATATTGTCATTATATTATTCACTATTTATGTTTAATTATAATTGACTTTTCAAAAAAAATATAAATGAATGATATATTTAATGAAAGACACTCTTGATTTTTATATAACAAATAAGAATTTTTAGATGGAAATTTTAGCAACTAGTAGTGTATTACTAGTAACCACCAAATAATTATTAATCAACTTTTTAATTTGAATTCAATGGCCTATATTTCTCTGCATAACCACCAATGCCTTTCCTTTGGTTATTAAGAAGAAAGAAATAGGTGAGAAAGAGGATGAAGAGAAAGAAAAAGATGAGAGAAAGAGTGGAATTTGAGTTGTTTGGTAGAAGAGAAAATGAGAGGAAAAAGAAGATAGAGAGAGTATGATTTTATCTTTCCACTTATGAAATAGACAATTATACCCCTAGTCACATTAATAAAACTTTTCATTCTAAATGAAAAATAAATATTATTTAAAATGTTAAGATATAATGTTAATCGTAAATATATAATTTTATATCGATGATTAAATATATAGATTTAATTAAAATGTCTAAAACATTGAATTATAATTGAAATATTGAATTAAATAAATTGGTTAATATTTAAACATGAGTTACCTTAATGGGGATGAAAACATATAAAAATAATATTTTTAGGTCCATAAGTGACTCAAAATATTATGTAGGGATATATTTAGTTATAAATAATGAATATAATAATAGTTAGATGATATGAAAAAAATATGTCAAACATGATAAGATAAAACAAAAAATGGACAAACATGTCAAGATAAAAAAAAAAAATGCAAATATATCAAGATAAAAAAAGGGGGCAAAATTGTCAAAATACAATATAAGATCATTAATTTTCATTTTCTCCCCACAAGTGAGAAGAAGAGTTTTGATATGGGACCCATGCAATTTTTCCTCCCTCCTCCCTATTTCTCCCTTGTACCAAATGAGGGAAATTGTCAAACTCTCTTCTCTCTTCCTTCTCTCTTTCCTTCTTAAATCACCTCTACCAAACATAGCATAAATTAGAGAGGGGAGAAATTCACGTACTCCAAGATTAAGTGGAAAAAATCTACTTTATATTATGATCATTCATTCTTGGGAAATCCAATGGTTTGAATTGTTGAATACATTTAAACCATTGAATTTTCCAAGATTGAATGACTAAGATGTGGAGTAAGTCTTTTTCCACTTACTCTAACATAGTTATTAGAATCGCATAAATAAACAAGTCAATCATTTGTAAATAAAAGGAATTGAAAGGGAATGCAGAGACATATTTTATATGCATCATAAGCAGTTGTTCAGGCTTTACACATTCATTCATTATAGAGTTACTTTATCACTTTATATGGTTTACAAAGACATCCACGACCCCTCCATTCATTTAGACTTATCAGACTCTTACACATCAATCTTTGGCCTCTTCTATTCAAAAACTTAAGATTTAGTCTACATTCCCTATATTCTTTTTTACTGCTCTTCCACTATTTAATTCAAACCAAATTATTTTATTTAACGATATTACTCTCAAATATCATAAGTTCATTTTTTATAATTTTAATTTGAATTTTTTTATATTGTTTTATCATTCAATTGATTTTTGACTTTTATACCTCCAAAAAAAATTATTTACATCAAAATAATATTCTAAATTTATAATACATAAAAAAATAACATTAAAATAACTGATTTGACATGCATAAAATCAAAGAAATAATATCATTGACAATTTGAAAAACAATTAACTTCACTCTTCCACCCCTCACATTCCTTATAAATTTAAGAATCAATGATGATTAAATATGAATTATGAATGATATACTAATGGTATAGAATCTCTTACACTATCAATGTGTTTTCTCACTCACATCCTAGCAAGTGAAATTATGAAACCATCAGGAACAAATCCACAAATTCAAACAGCACAAATAGAGGAATGAAGAAATAAAACATAAGAATTTTGCTGGAGGATCTGCAATCCGAGCCATAATCATATAAGTGAATTGCAAAATACAATTTGTAATAAGCTGTTAAAAAAGTGTAGTCAAGTACCTAAGCACTTGCTCATTAAAATTGAAGGTGGAAGTGAAACTAAGCACTTGCATCACATTTCAGCAACTATCTTTACAGCACACTCCTACAACAAGTAAAAACAAAGGTCTAGATTGCACTGATTTTGGAAACTTGTGATCTGCAGAATGTTTGCAATGAGTACAAGGAAGAATGTCATATAAGATATGCAGTCTCTTTACTTCCACCAAAGCTTAAATTTCAGCTTCATGGCTTGTGAATTTTGAAACCAAAAACTCTAGGAACATAGCTCTGTGATGGCTTTTGTGGCTTTAGTTGTCCATATGTCATCAAGAAGAGATGTGGAAATGTTGTTCCAAAATAAGCTCCATCGATGTCTAGATAGAGTTAAGGAAACATAGGAAATAAAATATATCGGAATTTATACTGACTTCCCGTGAGGTTTGACTTAATACACCCAACACTCCTCTTGTTTCAAAAGTTACATTACCTCCCTTTTAAGAGATGTCTATCACCCTCCAAAGGAGATAGTGTATATGATAACATAAACTTCAATGGAGGTTCATGTAATTTGTGACATGAGAGGTATTCGGTGTAATTAAACCAAAATGTT